TTTGGTTATAACTGTGGTGTTTATGGAAGAGGTTCGTGGGTGCGGCACGTCCTCTCATCTCTTCTTCTGACGACGTCTTCGGCCCATGGGAGTCCCACTCTGCTGCACCGCACCTTCCACCGACTGACTGACCGACATCCAGGTCATTTTTAACAGCAGATAGATGCGAGGAACCATCATCTCGTTGTTCTCTTCGGCGCGAAGAACAGCGGACACACAGACCATCGTGATCCGTCTCATCGAACGCAACGCGTAGTGAATCCTCTTCGCACAATTTATCATCTAAACCTTTTGGATACCTGAATGAAATCGTCTTGATCGCAGTTAATAATAGAAGCAACGAATTACGTCCAACGCTCACAATGAATTGGGTACGTTTCAATTATAATAAATCATCGATTATTTATTTAAAATTTCAATTACATTTCCAAAATTCTTAATTTCTTAAATCCAAAAAAATGTATCAACTTTTTTTTTGGAACATTCCAATTTGTAATTTCTAAAATCAATATAATACAAACTTTTACAGTTTCAAATCTACAGCAAGATTTTATTAATAATACCAAGAAACTTTGTGATCTTTATTTAAAAATTTCAAAAATCTACCATTAATATAAATATTTTTTACAATTTTTTTTAAATTTAATTTCTTTCATATCTAAAATTACATTTTTTTTCTTAAAACAAAGAAAGTTTATGATCTTCAATCAAAGATTGCTTAAATCATATAGGAAATAAGAAACAAATTGAAAAATACAAATAATTATATTGTTTAAAAACTTTTACTTTCTTTATAATTAGTAATGATTATTATTAAGACTATTCGAATTTAGTAGAAAAAAAACATATATTTAATAATTAAGTAATATTTCAATAATATAGCAAAATATATGAAACATATATAATTTTATACTTTAAGTCACGTAATCTAAACACGAGTAACTAGTTTAAAAGCTTCATACAAAATGATTACAAAGCTGCAATTGTATTAAAACCAAAGTATATAAAGAAAGGAAATTATTATAAGACAGTTTCATTTCTAGAATGTATAATTATAAATATAAATAAGAAAGTCTATAATTCTATTCAATAAATAACAATGACATATGTAGTAAAAATAACTGTAAATCAATAGTAGTAAAGAAACGATGATTATTTTTATAATTTATTGATTAACTTTCAGTAGTCTTGAGTTATATAGATTACACACACATTATACATGTGGAATTACAATAAATCTTCAACGTACAATTAGAAAATTATCATTTATCCAAGTTTTATTATAACTCAATGAGAAATATGGATTTCGTGTCTTAATTGTAATGTTGTCAACATTAATTAATTGATGAATTTGTTTCATTTTAAAGTACAGTAGAAATCCCAGAATGTGCGCCTTCTACATCATTTTTAAAACTTGTGTACACATAGTGAAAATACACACTATACGAGTAAAAATCCGGAAATTTTGGAACGGATTAAACATGTTTTTCTAAATTTTCTATAATACAAAAATCTGCTTTATTTCGTTCTAAACATTCTTTAAAATCTTCATTTAACAGTAGCTTTTTTTTATTAATTTTAATTAATTGGTATGATGAAGGTGTGAAGAAAGTAAATCAACATTGAAACAGCGAATAAATTAAATTACAGCGAGAATCCAGCAGCAGTTGTATGAATTAATTTGCAGGCATTTCATTTTTTTATTCCCATCCGGCAATTAACATCGAAAATTCCCACAAAAATAAACCCGACTATTTTCGCTTCTTCGTCAATTATATATTATATTTTTTTTTTCGTGCCATATTTCTACATTATATTATTTATATTTATGCGCATCTGTTTCGTTTCTTCAATGCAATTACGTGTAGTGTAAATCCAATGTCAGTGGAATCGTTTAATTTTTCTTTCATTGAAGCGGACGGAGAGCGAGAAAGAGGTGCAACTTTCTTTTCGAATCGTTTTCCTTCTGGTATGCGAAGAGCGTGAGCGTCCTGGGATAATTGCATTCAATTGGAATGCCGGAGCGTCGGTTATCTAATGGGAATTGCGACAAATTCAGGACGGTACGGATTTTGCCACCGTTCACTTGCGTAACGTCATCTTTATTTCAACCATCAACCGATCGTGCAGCAACGTGTTAATGAACTTTCGTGTCAGCTGCAGTAAAGTAAATGATTGATTTCGAAAGGAAATTGGCGTTGATTCATATTGGTCATGAGATTTTAGCTGCAATTAGCCTTGGAAAGTAAAACGTTATTCGTTTTCATCTTAACGTTAAAGTGAATGTTAAACTAATTGCCCTGATTGATTTCAAATATATAGTTTTACTCATCATTCAAAATTATAAAGTATTTGATGTGATCCATTTCAAACCAAATTCAAAGATTTCAGTTGTAATTATATTTGCTTTAAAGTGAATGTTAACATTAAGAGAATTACTAATAAAACTAATTACTCCGATTGATTTCAAAAGTATTTCTAAAGCAACATTGTCTATTGTATTTACAAAGTATTTGAAATGGTTTTATGCTCATTCTTTAAATCCCAAACCATAATAATTGGACATGCTTTAAAATATCACCTTTGCAATTAAAGAAAAGTAAAACTTCTTTGTTCTTTTAATGTTAATATTAAAGTGAATATTATACTGAAAATTACCAATTGTTAAAAGCACTTGTTCATTAAGATTCATTGATAAACCGTGACATTTTTACATCCGAGAAAGTGTATTTATTAATTATTTCTAGTAATTGCAAAACGAGCGAATCTTTATTCCTTTATGTAACTCAAAAGAAGACCGATGTCCTCGGGGCGACTCTCCACGAAGCGTCTCTTTTGGTGAAACCGAAGACGAGGATGAAGAAGAAATTGTTTACATTTCGTCGTACACACACATGAGTTTTTGAAAACTTTCACCGATTTCGCGCGTCTCCTTCGAACGTCTTTAACATTTTTTTATTCGTTTCCAAAAGCTGACCTACGGGTAAAAAAAGATACAAACGAAAGAAGATGATGAAGACGGACGGATAATAATAGAAAATTAACGCGTTAATGGCACTTTGCAAGAGGCACGACAGTTCCTTTCGAGGGAACTCCTTTGTTGCTTTGTTTATTTGCGAAACACGCCTCGTAAACCGTGCATAAATGCACGTTAAACGCTAGCACTTCCTAATTGATAAGTTTATTATGTAATTGAGTTGCTAAATGTGACATTTGGTCATCAAACAAAGGAAGTTTTTGTCGGATTTACTTCTTAAGAAATATTAATATCTTAATAAAACAAATATACTTTGCAGATTAAACAAAGTTTAATAACTCTTAGGAAGACAAAGTGCGAGGTTGAAAGAAATTGTTTTTTTACTTGTTACATTTCTTATACTTCCTCCATGCATCAACTCAAATGTTTAGAAAGAATTTCTTTAGTTATTTTTACCTATGAAAAATCCTCTTCTTTTTAAATAAATTTTAAAACAGTTCATAAGTTTTCGTAGATCTTGAATTAAATATTAACTTTATACCAAGATCTACCACTAAATTTTGATTAATATTATCTTAGTATGTTGTTGTGATATAATTCAGTGAAATTTGCAATAAATAAAATATTATCATAGTAAATTATACAAATTTATTCGGTAACGTAAAGGTTCATTGCCATCACAACTAACGTCATAGATTTCAAATCTAAGAAACGTGTGATTATACAGCGAACATAAATAGTGAACAATATGATAAATTATTATTTAAATAAGATACGAAGAAGAAATCCAAAAAAAGAAAAAAAACAACATCCAAAAACTTTCTCCAACAAAGAAAATAATTTGAAATTTTCGTCGTGAGATCATCTCTTTGCATTATTATTAGTATTATTACAAAATCGTTTACAGCTGATTTGCATAAATTCCATTTGCGAGCAATAAACACATAAAATTACAAAAACAAAAAAACTTTCGTTTTTCGTCCGTGCAAAATTCCATTTATATTATTGCAAATGGAAAAATGCGTGTGCGTTTCTTTGTCTGTATTATTAATTCTTAAGCCAGAAGTTTCTAACATCAATCATTTTTTCGCGTTTCCTAACAGGCTTTTGTTTCTAGTCATTGAGAAACTCGCCTAAGTGTTAACAGGTGCAATAAACATATTTGTTACCGAATGAAATTTACATTTTTTTTTAAAAGTAAAGTTAATTTATGGTAACTTTGTAGCTTTGAAACGAGATAATCAAATATTGTTTACAGTTCTTTGATAGAAAGTAATATTCTATTATTTAATCATTTTTATTCAATGAAAATGAAGAAGTTGCACAAATTCGATAACTTCCGTGCTGCAGTCTGCAATCTGTTCATTAATTAGTTGCTTAATTAACTGATTGCACATCATCGTGTTTGCCCAATACTGAAGAGTCTGTCCATGACAAACATTGTTAATTGAAATTGTTCATCGCAAGAAGCATTAAATTTTAATTGACTCCGCAGTGAAATTTATGTGAATCGTCTTCCACTTATATTTCTTCTTTATTTATTTATTATTTATTTTTTTTTGAGAGTTCGCAAAGTGGAAAGTGGAGGAAAGTGTTTCGCGTCTTCTCCTCCGCCCCATATGGAATTTCAACTGCATTCCTCGAGAGCGAATTTCTTTTCACCTTGCATCGAAGACCCGTTTCGATAATCTTTTTATTCGTTCTCTTATATTTCGACTTCTTCGGCGAGACAAGTGTCTGGCGGATAAATAAATAAATCACGTTACGTAAACCGTGATGATGATGCACGACGAATTTCTTTTGCTCTCCAATTCGCGTTTTCGAAACCGCAAATATAAAGAGAAGAAGGAGGAAAATTGGTTCTCATGTGTGGTCTGACTGAGCACACTTTCATCCGTGTAATTTACAAGTAGTAACAATAGTTTAATTGTGTTCGGATTTATCTTGAGAAATGTTTAGTTATTCATATAGATTTTTTTTTCTGTATCCTTGTTTGCAGGTGATTATTGCGATCGTTTGCTCGATGGTGGCGGCGGCGGAAGCCGAGGCGAACCTCTCGAACGACATCAGCGTTCCGTCTTCCACTCCCAATTTGGATTCGGATCTGAGGAAGGCTCTTCTGAGGGCGTTGAGCGAATTGGAGAACGAGGAAGCGTCGGAGGGACGGTCGGGTTCTTCGACTGAGAGGTCCGAGGATAGGTTCATCGAAAGGGCTTCCGCTTCGGCGCTTTCGATCATCACCAAAGACGAGCACGTGACCGAGGTTCAAGCTACGACAACTTCAAAACCGATTGTGGTTATACAGAAGAGTTCGGTTTTTCAAGCGACGACTCCGGAACCTGAGGATTTCGTGACCAGCGCTACAAGCAGCTTCGTGAATTCCAATGTCAATCTGAACGGCGTTACGATTAACGACAAGAGATTCACTCCAGGCGTTAAAAGCGTTTCGATAACACCCAAACCGGAGACTACGACGGCCATAACGACGACCACTGAGGAGAGCGAGGCTAAAGTTGAAGATGTGCAATTCTTTTCAGCTCCTTTGGTCGCCGCTTTCACGGTGCATCAAGACGCTCACGGACTTCCCAAGAAGGTGGAACCAATCTTCAAGACGCCTCAAGTAAAACCGCCGAAAAAGGAGCACGTCAAAGCGCAGATTTCCTTCCACGAAAAGCAGAGGGCTTTGGAGGAGCAAGTGTTCAACTTGCAGCAGCAGCAGAGGTACCAGCAAGAATATCTTTTGCAGCAGCAGCAACTTCTGATTCAGCAGCAAAGATTGTTGGCCGAAAAGCAAAGGCAGCAACAGAACAGCCAACCCTTCCATCCAATTAACAAGCAACAACCTAATCAAGCGCAAAACGAGGTTCAGAACTTCGCAAGCACCCAGCAATTGCCGAATCAGTTTCAAGCCAACAAATTCCGACCGGAAAACACGGTAGTTTCTTTACAACCGAGCATCACCTACACCCAAACTAGCCAATTACTAGCCCAGATATTACCAATAAGAAACGCCGTGGATTTCCACACTATTCCATCTTACCATCCGTTGAATTCGCAACCGCAACCACAGCAGCAACAGCAGCAAACCTTCAACTCGTTCCAAAGCTTTCCCCAAAGGCAAAGCAATCGTGTTTTCAGACGCGAACCCACCACCGGCAATTTAGGCTTCAACCAACAATTCCAGCAGCAGCAGCAGCAATTCCCCCAGCAACAACAAACGCAAAACAGATTCTTCAGATCGAACGCGGAAACTTATCATCCAAACGTTAACCAGCAATTGAACACTTTGCTCTACCAATCCGGTATTTCGAGGAACGTCAGGCAAAACGAAGACCTCAACATTGTCTCAAAGATCCTCTCCTACAACGTCGGCAGGCAAAACTTCTAAAATCAATTTAACAAAAAAACACAATCGAAGGACAGAGAATTAATTTCAGGTACAATTTATAATTTATAAGATTTCCAAAAAAAAAAAAATAGAAAACGAGAAGAAATCAAATGTTTGTATATATATATATATTTTTTCTAAATGTACTTTATTTTACGACTGAAAACGTTATTTTTTTTTTTATATATGTTTTGTGTTACCTCACTTTGTTTTTTTTTTTTTATATAAATAATTTGTTTTGCCTATTTGCTCCAACTTATTTATATTTGTGTTACCTCACTTTGTTTTTTTTTTTTTATATAAATAATTTGTTTTGCCTATTTGCTCCAACTTATTTTTTAAGTCTACTTTCGTATTTATATGTAATTATTAATAAAAATTTAATAATAATTAATTTATGTATTATTAATAAAGATGAATCGTTTGATAAATATGTGAAGTGTGTTGATTCAAGGTCGAGGCGTGACCTTCATCCAGTAATCGGGAATGGACACGGTGATTCCGTTTACTTGGTTATCCGTGCACGGAGGTTTCTCCTTTTCGGGCATCGATAACGTGAAGTTCTGCATGATTCCTGTCACCATTAAGAACATGGTGTTTCGGGCGAAAGTTTCCCCGGCGCACAACCTCTTTCCTGCTCCGAATCCTAACGTTAAGTCCTTCTTGACTAAATGTCCGTTGGAGTCCAAGAATCTTTCAGGTCTGAAGTTTTCTGGATCTCCCCAGAACTCTGGATCGTTGTGCATGGCCCAGATGTTGGGTAACAGCAACGTGTTTTCCGGAATGAAGTATCCGGCTAAGGTTGTGTCTTTGGTCGCTCTCCTACCTAAACCTAAAGGTACAATAGGATCTTTCCTGATCATTTCGCGAAGAGTGGCTTCGATGTAGTGCAAGTCCTTGCGATCATCGATGGTCGGTAATCGAGATCTACCTACAACCTGATCAATTTCCTCTTGCATCTTTACCTGAATCTCAGGTTTATTGATTAGATGAGCGAAAAGGAAGTTCAAGGTATGGCCAATCGCCACCGGAGCGGGAAACATGTAATCCAAGGTAGTGTACATGAGTTGATCTTCTCCGAACGAAGTATCAGTTATGTTGTTTTTCTTTAAATAATTCATTTCCGATAAGTAAGTGTCAATGAAATCTCTGTCATGACCTTCGATATAAGACTCTTTATGTTCCTCAATAATAGCCTATAAGAAAAAAATAGTTATTAACATTTACTAATTGTGAACATTAACTTGTACTTACTCTGACAAACTTGAAGAGGATCTCGTTCTCCCTGAACGAATGATTCCAACCAAAGTATTCCGGAGCTATGTATTTCAACCATGGAGTTGCTGTGATGGCACTTCCTGTGCTATCAACGGATTGCAAAAAATTGGTCGCAGCTTTTCCGATTGTTCTCAGCTCCCTGTAATCGTCAAAGTGACGCGTGGAGAGAGGAAAATGGATGCAATTCAAAGCCGGTCCGAAGAATACGTCGGGCATCTTAACAATACCTCGCTCGACGCATACATCCTGCAGATAACACACTTTAGAATACGTTCATTTTTAACTATTTTTTTATTATTATTACCGAATCGCAGGGTTTCGGTTTACTCGTGAAAAACTCGATTAAACCGCGCACCTCCTCTGCAGCTCTGTCCTCGATCCCGGAATCGCGTCTACCGAAGCCGTAATCCCTCATGTGTCTCAAAGAAAACCACCTCTGATCCCTCCAGAATTCACCATCAGAGAAGAAGATTCCTAATCAAACAATATTTTTTCTCTTGAAATTTAAAATGTTATTGATACAAATTACTTTAATTCAAGTAATAAAGACTTACCAATTAATCGACCTAATCCTCGGTTGCGAATGATTACGGTGTCTGGCCTTCCGGAAAATTCCTCTCTGACCATGACCTCCTTAACCAGATCGTATTTGTAGCAGCTGGCTACTAGGAATTCGCCCGTGTAGAAGCCAACCACGTCCGTTTTGTACTTCTTCCCCAGCGACATCAAAGCCTTGTGCGGATACCTGAAGTTCTCCATCTTCAGGTGGAACAAGCTACCCCAGAACGGTAATTTTGGAGGACCTGAAGCGAAGCGTTGCGTAACATGATGAAAGCAAAAGATAAATTTTTGTTATCGAATACCTGGCGGAAAGTTGTCCGGCCTCTTTTTGGCTCCATTGAAAATGTAAACTAGCAGACAGACGACTGCGATTACGAAGAGCACGGAGAACGAGATCATTTCGACGCGTTTGTTAATATCTGAGTGAACTTCGTTTCGCATGCACTCTGTCCTTTTATATTTCCACGCTCATTACAAATCCATGAAAGTGCGCTAAACTGAATTGGGTTAGAAGCTTTATCTTCCGAATGATAAAATGAAAATCAGGAACAGTGTTGTCTTTCAGTTTATATAATGCATCATCACTTGTTACCGAAAATAATTCTACATATTCTCTATATTTGGGGCTGAAAATTCCTGGATTTATTTATAAAATTATTCTGTAAACTATTGTTTATCATAAAAAAAAAAGTAAGTCTCTTTAAGTTGCTTAAGTATGCATATTTTTTCAATATATTGCAAAATTCTACAATTGCAATATTAAATTGGATCGTAGTAAACATTGTTAATGACAAACGAATCCGAACATTGTTTATTGAATCGAGTACGCATTTTGATTATTTCCTTTAAACTTTGGAAATATTTAATTAAAAGAGTAATAACTTATAATCTTTATTGTGTTTATTGATGCCCTGCGATTCCACTATTTCCATTGACTGTGAATCTGCTGCTATCCTTAACACTTGTCCATCGACTTGACTGAAAAGGTCCATATGCTGAACCTCATTCATTTCACTGTCCATCTGTGATGAACGATGGCCCTATTGCTGCAAGCACCGAGAGGGCCCACAAAGGGCTTGTTTTTTGACCAGGATTCGAACCGGCGCCTACGAATTAGTGGGTAGGGCGACTTAACCATTCGGTTATTAGTCGATCCAACTTGTAATCAATTATAAAATGATAATTTTCATACCGATTTCCCTATAAAAGAACTGCTCAATTAATCTTTAAACATCTTACCACATTCAAATAGGAAAGCAGTGTTCTGACCCAGAAAAAATCTGATGTCAACAACAATTTTAATAAATAAATATGCATTATCAATGTTTTGTTTAAGTTAAAGAACAATAATATTTACATAAAAAAAAAATCTTAAAATAACCAATTATTATTTTGTTCGTCAATATTCTCACGAAAATAATAACAATGTTTTACGAGATTAAGAAATATTTCCTTAAACATTGTGCATCAATTTGTTTATTTTAACCGTCAAGAAACAACAAAAATATTTTTTAACTTGAAAGCACGTCAATAGTAACAAATTTGTTTATTTTTAATTTTTATTAATTATTTTGAAAAGAAGATTTGGTCATTTTCATTAGGTTTTTCTGAAGAGGTTTAACTTTAACTTTGCAGAAAGTGTAAGTGCATACAATAAATCCTTGGTATTTATTGGTGACCGCTACAATTTGCCTTGTAGGAATCACCGGACAAGGATTGCATTCTGATGTGGTAAAGGTTAGNNTTTATTTCCTTGTCCCGATTGTTAACTGTATATTTCATGGGTCATATCGATTCATTGATAAGAACCCACTTTCATACTGTAAGAGCAGACGAAGACAGGAGGAGAAGGAAGAATAATTGCAAGTGTTTACTTTCCATCTACTGCATTTGTGTCAAGTACACGTTGAATAAACGTCGATCAAATTAATCTGTAATTATGAATTGTCGCATTCACAGTTATTATCTCTGATCCTGTACGTTTATCAGGTTTAAAGAGATTATTGAGTATATTAGAAGATTATTCAAGTTTTTAGTCATAATTTTATATAATTCATAATACAATTACATCAAAGTTTGGTAAAGTTAATTAATCATTTAATTATACAGGTATCCCCCGACTTACGAACTCCCGGACTAACGAACAAAATTCTGAAAGCTTTAACTTGTTACAAGGAAATATATAGTGATAAAAAATTAACTGTCCAAACAAAAATTGATAATTTCTTTAATAAAATATAAAATTATTGGAAAATGTACTCTTTGTTTTATTGCATTTGTTTCTTTTGTCGTTTTTTATTAAATAATTGTGATGTCTTCATTGAAAAGTATTTGTAAGTAAATATTTTGTTTATTTTAATCTATTTTTTCAAATTTATGAAGTCATTTATACGGAATTTTACATATATAAAAGTAAAAACCATGACAAAGTGTGGTAAGATAAGTATATTTCAATTTGTTTATTTTTTTAATTTTTTTAATTCCCCGGACATACGAACAAATTCGACTTACGAACAACCCTTTGGAACGGAACTAGTTCGTAAGTCGGGGAATACCTGTATTCAAATATGACATAAGAATAGACGTATGATGACTGGCGTCGAGTAGCTAAACTACAGAACTTCAGAACAAGTTGAATAGATGGAGCTACAATATATTTTGAAGAATCATTAAAAATGTAATACAAAATTTATTTATCCGTTACATAAACATATTCGCATTTGAAAAAACTTTGTTTAATAAACACAAATTAATTGATACAATTTATTTTGTAACTGTTTTAGTCTATAACAATTGAACTAAAATAACAAAAGTTTTCAATTAAATGCATTTAGCATCACCAAAACATTTATTTTAAGAATTATAGCGTTCATAATTTCGAAATTACTCAAAAAAAATTGAAACAATGTCTACTTAATTTATCATCAACTGTAGATTTTTTTCGTGATCTAAGTGTGAAATCGAAATGTGCAGCAGGTGTATGTAAAATTTACAGGTAGAATTTATCCAATTAACTCTATCTCTTCATAAAATGAACTACATTACAATAGCTATAACCGTTTTTTTTAATAAGCATATGGAATAAGCTATGGTCAAAACTGTAAGATAATTAAATAGATTTACGCAATTAGTGGTGATGCTTAGTTCCATCAGCAGATGCTTCGAAAGCAATTAATTTTATTTAAACTGTTGAGTAGACGCGGTAAATAAAATTATTTTGTTTACAAATTTAACCTAATTTTATTTGGACAAATTTTGTCCAATATAAGTTAAATGAAAGATATGTGTATTTATTGAAGAAACAAAGTTAATCTAATTAAGATATTTAAAGATTTTAACCTAGTTTTAAATTATTGACTACCTTAGGTAAGTATATTTATAATTGGATTTAAGTATGAAATGGCTTTGATTCGTTCAACAGTAAGTATTTTCCAGCACATTGAGAAATTGTCAAAAGTGAACATACATTTATTTATATAAAAAGAAATAAGTGGATTTAGTGATTTGGTTAATCTGAAGTAAGTATCAATTATTAGTTATTCTACAAAATCTGTGTATTCATTATAAATTTCAAGTGCGTATATACTGAAAATGTTACCTGCTCTAATCTTTTCGGTTTTAGTTATGATTTTATGGAAGGCAGTAACAGTGGAAAGAAATGTGTTTATTGCAGCATAAATATTTATAGTTGTTGCTGTACCAGGTCCTTCAGAACATAATGTGCATTGACGGGTGGCGCCTAACAGGTAGAAGATGTTCGAACAGTTAATCAGTTCCAGACGATGGTTTTTATTCAATGGAAGAGCCGTAAAGAATCGTCCTGTAGTAAAAGTATGGTATGAAAGAAAAAACTTGTTTTCAAGTCTTTGAAATATATCAATGATTTTTAGAAGCTTGGGTATTTGTTGAAAGACACAATTTAAGGGATGAAATTTGAAAACTACACTTCGCTAATATTTGCTAGAAAAAGTTAGGTAAGTAATTAAAAAAGAGTCAGCGAAAAGTAGGAATAATCTGTAATTCGCTGCTGAAGGATGTGCAATAAGTTGTTGACAGCATTCGAGGAATGTCTGATCTTTCTGCAGAATAACAGCGCCAATTGAAACCTGATCTTTATGATAAGTATGATATTTATATTGAATCTCTAGGGTTTATACGATGCGAGATCATGTTGTATCTTTTGTCTTATGGAATATAATGGTACATTGTGTTGCGTTGTAGCAAATCGCAAGTTGTATTTGCTGTCTGCGATACAATGTGATATGTTGGTTTATATAATGGCTCAAGCAATCCATAGGAATTGGTAATCGCGTTCATAAACAAGATGCGTTTATTGTGCGATCCAATTGTAATCGTTTTTTTTTCTTCATATAAACGTTGAAATCCTTTTGGAGGTACTATTTAAGCTATTCTCCAATAGTTGTTGGTTGGATGGATGGATGGAGTAGAGGTCGCCACGAGAGACCGGAGGGAACCGGAATGCGTGTTTGAATGGGGTCTAGACTGCGGGCGCTCCGGAGTCGCAAGTTTTCTCCCATTCATCGGGCGGTTTCAGGTGCGGAAGGACTGAGACAGCTCTCGCGCGCGCCGTCGTTTGAAACTCGCGGAAGGACAAGAACCTCGCGCGATGCGTGCTCTAGTGTCGAAGAAGTGCTGCTGGTGCTGAAAAAGAAATATTAGTTGGAAAAGGAGGAATTTTTTTTGTTAAAAAAAATTTATTTTATAATGTGTGCCTGAAGTGATATGGGGTGCTAAGATGCCTTTCGTACAGAGAGTGATAGAGCCGAAGTACCTGAGCAGGACGAGCCTGTTCGACGCCGATGGCAAACCGCTCGTGGACGACGGAGAGCTCGAAGCTGTGACCAACAACACCTTGAGCAATGCCCTCAGACAGCTCGCTTCTTTGGTCCTCGTCGCCAACGACATCTTCAACGATCTAGGTGGACAGCTGAAGGGCATCACCGAACGGTCGCAGAGGCTCGGCGCGAAGCTGTCCAACGTCGAGAAGAAGGTCGCCGATTTCGATCCCAAGAAAGTCGCAGTCCGTAAGTCCGGAATTTCTTTAACAATCGTCGTCCTTGAATCGTTCTATATACATCGCTCCGAGCCATACCTACACACACACACACACTGGATTCATTTCTTTTCTTCTTCTTAGTTGTTGTGTTGTTTTGTTTGCTATACCTTATTCTTCTTTATACTCCTCTTACCTATACACCATTCGCAAATCCAGATTGCGGCCCACAAGGTTGTCCGGTCTTCGGAATCCTCTCCCGCGCGCCGAAAACACATTACGCAACGATCATCTCCACATCATAAACTCAATTACCTCCTTAATTGATAGAAGCAAATAGACATAAAAAAGAGAAGCACCTCCATTCACATTCAATGACAATTGGCCTTCATTGCATCAAACACGAGTGCAAAACAAAACAATTACAGATATAAATTTCCAACTTGAAAGCAAATTGTAAATATTCATAAAATTTGATTATAACGCGAAGTAACAGAAGTAAATGTAACAGAGCAATATTAAAAAAAAATGCGGTTTAATTACAGCTTTGTAAAGAACCGGCCTTCCGCATCCTTAATTCACCTTTTTTTTGAACCATCTTAATTGAGGAGAAAACAATGCAATAAAAAAAACGATAAGTTGATTAACCCAATTTTCGACGCGACCTGCATTCCGATATATCTTCGCAATGTTTTTTTCCATTTCGGAAGACTCTTATCTTATCACATCGCATCGGATTCGGAACGTTTCAATCGTCTTAATATCTCATTCTTGTGTCTCTCACCTTCGTTCTTCTGCTGTGAATTTCGTTTCTCAAAATGGAAAGTTCATCGTTCACCTTTTGCTGGAATCTACCTGCGCACGAAGAATCCTTACAGCCGCCGGAAACTCACACACACACACTCTCACGCACATCCTTTTGACAAAAAAAAACTATTATTATTATTGCCCGTTTATATAAGGTGAGAAGACGTTTCTCATATAGATTTGCAATTTTGAATATTTTTACGACTAATTTGGATCTATTTTATTTTGGGTGGAATCAATTTGAATATAGTAGATCGTCAAAACAACAACTTGAAAATTTTAATATGAGTAATCTTTTCATCTTATTCAATCGATTATTTTTGAATTAGTTAAGCAAATTGATTATGTTAATGACTGTCATAGACAACTCTTCCTTGATTGGACTTGCATAATCCGAACTACTTTGTGTTTTAATCTCGAGCATTAAGACATTATAATATTAAAGTAATATATTATTAAAAGGATTAATTTACGTGTACAACTAAGTCTAAAGTTACAAATAAATATTTATTACTACAATGTTTGTATGCTCATAAGAGATTAAGTAAAATCATATTCAAATATTTTTTTTAAAGGTAAAATATAAAACGTTGATGTTTATTTGACCAACATACGCGTTTCGATGCGAACACGCCATGCGGACTATACGAACTAGCGGTTTTTCCATAATTGGATTTTACGAAATTTATATATGGGAATTCGTCTGGGAATGATGGAAATAGCATTTCATAAATGACTACCTTACATAACGAAGCGCAAACCGATTGCTTGTTGTGATTTCTATCGGCTCGATGTTTCAATGCGAACACATTAATAACATCCGTTGGTCAACGTTCTTCTCGTTTATAAACCATCGATCTCCTCTCGCATTGCGTAATACGTGTGCTGTATCAACGTCGCGAATTACATAATAAATACAAAGTTGAGTAATTTATATATTTTTTTTATGAAAATACGTGCGTGCGTTCGAAATTCACCTTCGTCGGATGTAAATGATATTATCCATAATTGGAAGGGAAAAGAAGACGGGAAGTCGATTATAAGAATTGTCGAAATTAATCGGAAAAGAAGGAAGGAAGCAATTAAATTTCCGTTTCCTTCCTTTCCATCTCGTTCCATTTCTTTTAAGTTCTTTTAATTGCTTTGAATGCGAAGGATTAATTTGCGGAGAGCGTCGAAACATGAATATCATCATTTTTTTACGGTCTTCCTTTGTCGCTGGATGTGGTCAAAGGCTGAACAATGGCAGTCGATATCTCAGAAGAATGGTAATCTTTATTTCATAATTAACGGAGCGGTTTTACTGCGTCGTCCCATGAATGAAACCAATTTTGAAGTTTATCGAGTGTTGCGTAACCGCACCACATAAATTAGAATACTTCTTTTTTTTTACTTCTTCTCATCTCTCCTTTCCACTCTATCGCTCTATTTTCTCTATGAGGCGACTCCAAGCTATTTCAGTACAGTTACAGTTTTTTTTATGAATGAAACCCACGATGTTTATTAAATTCATTTGAAGAAAAGTACATTTTTCGATGATTGTACTATAAACATCAACAGATCACATTTTATGTAGTTTTCAGTACAGTTTCAGTAAGTTTTACTAACGTTGTGTTTACTAATAACAACTGATGATTTTGAATGAAAAAACCCACAATTTTTATGAAATTAATTTAAAGCCAAATACATTTTTTTCTATGATTATACTATAAACATCAAAAGATCATATTTTTGTATAGTTTTCTGTACAGTTTCATTAAGTTTTACTAAAATTGTGTTACCTAATAACTAAAGAGACACAACACTCTCGACCTCCCCTTTAGAAAATATAAATTATTTTTATTGTTTAAATTTTCATAGTGCCGTCAAAATCAATTTTTATTTGGGTTATTATTGTCATCGAGTTATTCTTTTTTAGTTAAATTTATATTTGTTTATAGGAAGATTTCCGATGGGAAATCGTTCCGCTCCATGTTTTTATTTTGTTTTTTTTTCTAACAAAAGCATTCAACTTATAGCCCAAGATGGCAGGTTGTGAATGAACAATAAAAGCTAATAAAAAAAAAAATATATTTTGTGTATTTTATTAAATAAAATATTAGAAACACTAATCCTGTAATTTGCCTGG